TATTTTTACTGCTTGAAGATTATTCTGTGGTTCTTGCTGGCAGAATGAATTCCAGGTATGTTCTCACTATATGCTGTGTTCATCTACAGTGTCATTTCAAGTGTTTCAGGGTTGCCTGTAGATAGGTACAAATTTAATGTCTTCCAGAAAGGACATTTCACTGGAGTATTTTCCTTCCTTTTGACACACTTGCTAACATGCTCAACCAAACATGGATGACCTAAGTTTTTAATCCCTGGTGTACTCTATTTATATTGGTTTACATATAAAAGAACAGCAAATAGTACTGTAACATTAATTCTGCTGTGAGAAAAGCAAGCCTACCAAAAGCATGAAAATGCTACTAAATGGATAGGATGCCTAAGCCAGGGTCCTGCCAGCTCTGCAGCACTCCTATCAATGACTGCCAGCAGAATCACCACTCTTTCAATGCAATATGCACTGGCAGCATCCTTTGCAGGAGGCTGTTATATCCAGCATACAGGGAGACTGAGAGGAGCACCCTATGTGGTGGTCAGTATAACAGATCATCAGTGAAGAATGGCAAAAACATAGCAATTACTGAAAATATCTTCTACATAAGCAAGACATTTGGCAAATTTTTGTTGTATCTTATTTTCTCCAGGAAAGATATGAAAACCTCATTTACATTTTTTCACATTATAATAATTCTCTTAAAGCAAGCTTCTCATTTAGCCATAGAATTGGCTTATTTTAACTATGGACAATGGGAAAGAAAACTGCCAGAAATGATGAGAATAAGTTTGTGGCTCTCTTTTGGCTCTCTTGCCTTTTTGTTCAGGTGAGTAAGACTCTTCAATGAGTAAGTTATAACTGGTGAGAAAATATCAGCCTTGATCAAACACTGGGTGCAAGCATTCTGCTCTAAAAGATGGTCTTGACCAATAATTTAGAGTCAACAACCATCCTCAGCAACCTAACTTTGAGATCTAAATGGAGAAGAGAGGAATGTAAAAAACAGGGCAAAAACTCACAGTATGATATACACATCAGTTTGTCTATAGCAACATACAGGAGACAACACAAACATGTAAATAAATCTGAAAGTTGTGTTGGTTTATAATACAACCTTCTAAAAGTGTTAGTCCAGTTCTTCACCTGCACTAAAAACATCAATACATTCTTTATTTAAGCCCACTGTCTTGCCATAGAACAACTAAAATTACAGTCTGTGGCTCAAATGGTAGAATACTGTATCTGGGATATTGTTCTATTAGTAAAGGAATTTGGCTAGTAAAAAAATGCCTGATGCCTCCTGTTACATTTACAGTTCTTCTGTTCGGAAAATGGTAGCAGCTGAAATAACACACAGCTCACAGTCTACAAGTTGGATTTCTGACATTTGAAGTTGATACCGGAGCTTTTATACTCATGAAGGCAGTGAAGAGTCCTCATCTAACTCTATGCTGTTTCCAAAAAACCCTATGAACTTCTTCTGAATACACCATTACATTTTATAGAGAAAACTCTTGAAGAAAAGCCCAAGACCAACTTTATCACATCCCCCACTCCAGTCTCTGTTTTTCCCCATAAATGTTAAAAACCAAAAAAAGTAATTATTCCCATATACTAATTTTCCAGTGCACAATACTCTTGACTTCCTAGACACTCAAATAACTCAATTTCATAGTTCTTTCAGGTTGTCCCAAAAGGTTATTTTTTTCAGGAAAAACACATTTCTTTTAGGGAGAGATCACACAGAATAAGCCTCTAAAGAGATGCCTGTAATTCTGTCAGATTTCATGTGTGGCTTTTCTCCGGGTACTCTGTCTACAATGTCAGTCTCATACAGGTTTTCTCTTATATTTTCTTGATACAGTGCATGCTTTTTTGGGGGTGGGGGACAGAAATTCTGCTAGCACATCTTCTGGAGTGCTGTGACAGAAAACAGAGACTGCACAGAATGCTCAGTTTTGACTCATCCCTACATTGTTTTGCTCTACTCTTTAGATTGTGTGGGCCCTGTGTTGCAGCTTAAGAAAGGAGAGGACCTCCTTGCTTCATAAGCATCAAAACTCCTGGAATTGTTATATACCCTAACCTTTTGAAGATTGTTTTTTTCAAGTGACTTCTCATTATTCCAAATAACATTGTTTGGAAGATCTTTAAGAAAAACAGGGGTGAAGTCTCCAGGGAAGAAATCTGTAGACTCCTTTCTTTGACTCTGCATTCCTTTGCAAACTACCTAGTGCATGTTCAGCACACTCTGAACAGACATGAATGTTTTCTAGGGTAGATTTAAAACCGGGAAAACTACCTTGAAACAGATATGGAAAACTAAGTTGTTGCACTAAAATGTAAATTACATTACTGCAGGGGCCTTATCCACAAGGAGAGAAATGATCCTAAGCCCTATAGGAACAAAAGCTGTAAGACAGTAAAATTATATTGCAATAAGTCAGAAAAATGAGTGGAGAAACTCTAAATATACATCACAAACTAAAACACCCCAGTCTTGATACACATGGAAATTTCTGTTTGGGACCACTAGGCAGGGAGATGAGATATATATAACCTTAAAGAATCCTTTATACCTGGAACATAACAATGGGTTAAAAATAACAGGTTTAATGGTTTGGAAAGTTACAGGCGTTCATAACAGCTACAGTATTTTATTTCCTACTCTATTTTATGGAACCAGACAGATGAAAAAAGAAAAAAAACCTTCTCAAAGTTCAGAATATCACCTCTTCATTTTCTATTAGTGTTCTAGCTTCACTGGAAATAAAAATGTTCCCCTTTTGCAGGATCTTCCTGTTAGTAACAGTTGCACATAAATAAAGTTTTCTAAACAAACATCTTATCTTTTTATGGAAGGAAGTCCATTAATAAGGAATTGACGTCCTTCCTTGAAAAAAAAAAGATCAGTGCTAATTCTTTCCCATAAACTAAAGAAATAAACTTACACCCTGAGATTTTTTACTCTATTTTCACAGCAAACCGGCTTGTCTGCACATAGATAAAATGGAACTATTTGGGTTTTCTTATAAACATCTCTGTTGCTACTTTGCCCCATAATATTGAACAATGAATTTCTTCCCCCCGTTTTTGATTGCCTCATGGAATTTGTGCTTTATTTCAATTCAACCCCATTCCTGTTAAAAGTACATGGCAGCCTTTGAGCAACTTTCAGCCTGGGAGCTTCAGAAACACACCATAACTTTCTAACATTTTGGCCTATGCCATTATTTCCAGAAAGATGCCCTTTACTTAAAAAATGCAGACAAATATACTCTAGCACCTCTACTGTGGTCTTCACTGACTTCATCAGTTACAAAGGACATTTCTTTTGCCCAAAATGAACTTTGTTATGGCAAATCCTCTGACATAACATTCATCTACTTCCCTTTTTCACCATAACTTTTCCTTTAGACTAAGAGAATTTGAAGTTGATACTCTACTGTATACTACTTACAAAAAATAAAACACAGATTTTTTACCCATGGCTTCAGAAAACCAGCACTTCAACCTACTTGCAGCAATGCTGAAAATAGAAATGTTAGTATGTTTAAGGAGAGTTTAGATTTGCAGTGTTACTGTACATCACAATTTAGAATCTCAATGCCATACTGCAAGGAGATCAGCCATAGAGAATGGCAGAATAATGTAGTCTGTGATTACCATACTTGTATAAGATTAGGAGTCAAAATGCCATAGTATTTTTATATGAAAAGATCCATTTATCTTAAACTCAGTAGTTCTGGGGGATGCAAGAAACCTTAAAAATATTTACATAGGAATTTCAAAAGGAAATTTTAAGGAAAAAATTGCACAAGTATTGCTAGAAAAAAGCTGTTATTTCTCTTCAGCTGTGTCTATAAATAAGTGCTATTTCAAGGCATCTATCCCAATTTTGAAAGATGAAACACTACTATGTTCCAGCAATCACACTTAGATAACCTAAGAATGGGAAAATAAAAAAACCACAATCCTTTACCAAGAGTGTGAATTAACATTTCTTACAGAATGCATCACTTGAAAAGGTGTTTAACATATGTCTTAATGCAGATAAATAAGACAGTGACAGGGAGTGAGACTGAGCACCAGGCTCCTCTCCTCTTCCTCTGTAGTGAACTCCAAGATTCCTTTCTGACTCCATTTTACACTAGGACAGTTTGCTTTCTAAAGATCAGTCTGCTGTAGAGGTGACAAGCCCTGAGCAGGTAAGAGGCAGTCCACATTACACAGCTTTGGTATACTGGTTCCTTGCACTCTTCTTTGGCATCCATACATAACTTTACATGCTGATTTCTACAGTTTACATTTAGATTACAATACTATTGCTGGTCGAACCAGAAGACTTGTGCAGGTTTAGTAACACACACCTGAGCGTCACTATAAAAGTTTAGAGCTAAGGGAAGAGGAAATTGCTCTTTTCTTTTCAAAGGCTTAGGTCCTCAGAAAGGTTTCCCCCCATTTCTGTTTAATTATCAATAATGTAATGCGGAACAGTGACCTTTTATAAAAACAAAACCAGAGCACTGCTTTAAAAGGTCACATAGTCACTCAGAAAACAGAGTAGATATTCTGGTATCCCATGGCAGCACTGGAAGCAGGGATACAGGTGATAGCTTGACAAGTATCTGGGCGAAACAGTATGCTGAAGGTTTTTGTCTCTCATTAGAGTTTTCACCTGTTCTCCAGGACTGCCCTGGTCAGTAAGGACACCTTATACAATTTCCAGCTTTTCTGCCTCACTTTTTCTTTACCCTCCTTTTCTTAGCACATTGCTTTACAAAACTTTTCTGATTTAGAATGATTCTTGACAGGGCAGAAAGCTTGGGGCAGTCTCAAGAGAGCTCAGTAAATGTGTACAAAACATTAAGACCTTTGATAATTTCATCTTGTAAGATGGGAGTTTTGGTCAGCTGTAGCTAATGGCTGACCAAAACACCTGTGAATGGCTTTAGGACTGCTGAATGAATGGATGGTACCCAGCACAGCAAACAAAGGAGCCCATTCAGCAATGTCACTGTTACCTGTGCTGCTGTCCTCTCTTGTCCCCTCACCTCCGTATTCAGCAATACTGGTGCTGCAACTGGTGGAGGAGGTGCTCTGCGCTTTTTCACTTCTGGGTTTGCTGTCATTCCAGAGATGTTACCAAGGGATAGTGATGAACCCAGGCTACTGGAACGAGAATTCACCGAAGGGGAATTTGGTGCTGTGGAAAAACCCTGTAAATGGATTAACATCTTGGATTAACATCACTCTTTAAAAACAATGAGAAAGAAAGAAGAAAAACAAGACACATCTGGTTACCGTTTAAACAATGATATGAATAATCATGTATGTTCCTCTGCCAAACCTGCTGAATTGCAAACTCTAACTTTTGGAAACTTCCAAAGGTCAACTGGAACAAAGCTTACAGGCGGTATTAATAAGACAGGAGGCACGATAAGCACCTACTGTGGTTTAACAGTAGTATCGATGGGAACACTGCTGCCGCTTGCTATTTAAAATATAAAGTTCACATCAAGACTCATAATTACAGTTATCCAAATGCATTTGCATTTGCATTTAAATTCCAAATGTTACACATTTCTAGAAGCAAGATGTACTCTTAAATGAGAACACTGTATCAATAAAATGCTGCCAGTGTCTCAGGCTTGTCTATTTTGTTATCAATCTGTCTTGATTCACCTGAGTCTTCTCCACAGATTTACATAAGAGAAACACTGCTACCATTAAACTATTTTCAATTGACATGCACAATCATGCATAATCACTTAAAACTTACTGAAAACAACCATTTAACTTGGTGAAAAGAAGTCTTACTGACAGACATCTCTCTGGATTCTAACAGGCCCAGATGAAAGGAGAAACAGAACATTACTTCAGTAATTCCTTACTGCTAAAAATTACTTTACTTCTCATTGAAAACTTAATAAAATCACTGGAAAAAGTTTAATGGATTTCAGAATCTTAATACATTTTTATATTAATATACAAACAGAAACATATGCAGTCACATAGTAGAAAATCAACAAATACAAAAGATGAGAACTAGGATTCTTTGAAAATACGCATTTTAACTTTAGTTTTTACTCTTAAATTCAATACCTATTTTTTACTCTGCTAATAAAAATCTTGCAAAAAGATTTTTTTTTCCCCCTCAAAATCTAAGTCACCTTTTCCTTTTTTTTTAATTAAGAGAACCCTCCATATTAAACTGAAGATTTTACTTTTTAATTAAGTTATTTGACTGTAACTTCTTCCCAGAAATATCTTCTGTGGAATCACCACTGATACCACTTCACCATGACCTGGAGCTGAATAGCTCTTCTGGAAACATAGGCTGATGAGCATGGTTGATAAATGCTGTTCTTATCACAACAGAACATGCTACCACAGTTTCAAAACTCTCCCATCAAGGACATACAGCTCTCTGGTGGAATTTTGTCCAAAACCACAGAATACATACTGGCAGGAAACTTGAAGGCCACCCCAAATGCCATTACTTTCAAAAAAAGAAAGATAATGTCTTTCCACAAGTGCCAAGTGCAAGCGTAGGTAAAAATGAAAAACACAGGGCAGCAAGATTAAAAACACAATTCATTTAGTTTTAGGACCATTGAGGAAGAACTGATAAAGCATAAAGAGCTAAAAAAAAGAGCAGTGCAAAAATATGTACGATACAGGCTCCTTTACTGCCTGGGAAATTTCCATGTTCCATAGATTCCCGTGAAAGCAACTGAGATGCACACAGATTTGTTCCTTGTCCTGCATTTACTGTGCATGTCATGCCAATTACTAACCTAGATGCTTTTGTTAACTTTTATGTTGCACACTGCACAGTACACTTCATCTTGGAATAATGTATTTGGCACAACTGCAGTATGATACCAGTCTTCTCTGACTGAAAGCAATGTTTGCTGCATCTTTTTCATCAGCAATTTCTCTGAATTGAATGGCATCGGAAGCATCTTTACCCTTCTAGGAAATGAAGAAAGAAAGTTTGAAGTAGAAGGTGCTGTTTAAAAGATTAGGTATAATCTTATAGAGAAGCAGTCTTGTATTGGCCCTGTATTGGCAGTGGAAAAAATAATGATCTCATCTGTAAGCTAGAAGTTTTAAGTCCTTATCAGTGCATACTGTACAAGTCCTATCAAATAAAGTTTGTTTATTCCTACAGAAACAGCAGATTCATGAAACGAAATATAGTTTACTCTTTTCACACATTTACAAACAAGTGAACAAAACAATTTCAAAGTGGGTTCTGCAGGTATGCTTCGACTCTATTAATTCTTTAGCCTTCTAAACAAAAGGGTGGAGAAATTTTACACAAAGATGTATGAAAATAATAAAAAAAAGCCTCAAGACCTTCCCTCTTAGCACTAAAAATACAGAGTGCTGGTAAGACGATAGGCCATAACCAGTTTGAAATAAATATTCAATTTTATCTCAAGATCTTGTGGCTGAAGAACTATCAGAATTCTTTTCCAAGCTACAGGTCATTGGGAAGCAATACAGTGATTGACAACTAAACAGTTTAAAGCTGCTTTGTCCTGTTTTTAAGCTAGGATTTCCTAACAGAAGACACAGGAGGAAAAAAGGAAATATTTCTACCACACTTCCATACACTTATAGTGTCATGGAACACCATAGTTTTTAATAAAAATACTTGAATGATAGAAAAAACACCCAAACTTGCAAATTCACCGATGTTTTATTTTCCAAATCCAACCTTTATATCAAGCCCATTATTTCATCAGTGAGCATTTCAAGAATGCTCATGTGAATACCTTTCCCTAAAACAAAAACTTGCCACAACTTCCAGGGGAACAGAATGAGGACAGTTTTGAACTAGTTTTGAAAGCCCTTTCATGCCGCAACAAGCGCTTTGCCTAACTGGAGTCAGACCTTCAATTTCTCCCATGTGTGTAGTCATTTTCATTAGCTTTAAGAGAAAAAACACAACCCTGGACACAAAACACTGACACAAGTGATTATGGCATGACTTGTCTTTTGCTGTAAAACTAATACCAAGAGAAAACACCTAGCCCAGCTTTTATATTTTATGTGAGTTAGATGCAATGCAGTTCCTTTCCAAATCGTGGGATCAAGCAAAATTGTAGGGACATGACATCTACATGCCAAATACTCTAACCATCTCTCATTTCTTGTTTTTCTAATTTGTTATCAAAGAACCAATTGAATTACTCAAATTACAGCAGTGTAAGTGAGGAAAGCCAAGCTCAGGAATTGAAGCCAATGTTGCCGGCTAAAAAAAAAAGTCAGCCCTTATCCTCCATTTCATTTGACACACAAGTTATCACGAATACTCTGCTCAGATTCCAAATCAGTTCACAGAATCCATGAGCTTCATAAGAAAAAAAAAAGAAAAAAGGAAAAAAGAAAAAAAATCAATAAGAGAAAAGTAATTGAAACTAATTATATGAAGAGCTTTCAAAAATGTCTCTCAACTTGCAAAATCACAGTCTTTGCTAAGCCACTAGTGTTGCAGCACTTTGCTACTAGTTCAAACAGCAATTAATTAATGCGAACTAGAAATAAAAAGAAACAGTTTGGTTTGGGATTGTTTTTTCTCCCTGAATTAAAGCAAACCCATTACATAACCAGATAGACCAGCAGTCAGGTTAGAAACTAGCTGAGCATAGGTTTGGAATATGTACTGAAGCACAACCATGGATTACAGTCCACTTCAATTCCATGAAGATATCAGGAGACAAGAAACAACTGCCATACCATATTATGTTGCCATCACTTGTCATCACCATTTCATGTTAAACTTGCTAGCTAGTTTTTTTCCCCTCTCATTAAACTTCTGAAACTCAACGAACTTCCTGTTTCTTTCCTTATGTACCAAGTGTTTTCTTTGGGGTTCAGCAATTGAATTTTAAGATTTTTTTCCTACTACTTCTATTTGGAATTTAGCTATCAAAGACAAGTTTTTAGCAGTCCTTATTTGCCCTGCAAACACAGGAGTATGAAGGCTAAGAGTACCCTGGTGAGGTATGCATACCACTCTCATTTTCAGAACACACCAAGCAGTCAGTTTTCTACAAGACTTCTAAAGTCCCATACCTGCTGAACTCAACACAAGACAGATTAAGAGCCTAAAGCTGAGGCCAGTCTCTGTTCCAAGGTCATCAACCCAGAATGCAATTGTAATCTTTTTCAAACTACCTCCTTTTCAAGATAAACAAAAGTTTTGCAATCTTATGGATACTTGGAAAATTTTGAAGTCATATGTAAATAAAGGTAAGAGTACTACTCTATTAAAAATATAACTGTACTGCTGTGAGAATTCAGTTCTGCAAAAACAGATGTGCATAAAAATGGAAATCAGCTTATGATTGTTTTTAAAATATGTCCCTTATATATAACTTTCTTACCCAAAGCCCTGTTATTAGCATTTCCTTGACTTTCTGATGACACTAAGTGGCATTTAAAGGTCAGCAAGGAAGAGGCTGCAGATTGCCTGTGAGAGTGATTTGACTTCCTGTTCCCTGTTCACACCGGTCAATAAAAATGTTTCAAAATGTCAAGCTCTTTTCTTGCAAGGTTGCTACAGACAAGCCTTTCTTCCGCAGCTCTTTGCCAAAACTCACATATTTGAGCTCCCAGTCTTGTTATGCAACTTCCTTCTCAGAAGTTTTTAAATCAGAAGTAATCAATTGAGCTGTTTTAATGCACTCAAAGTACCAGATGTATTAGCAAAAAGGGGCTTATTTTTTCCAAAATAGAGACAAAAAATAAAAGTATTGTAAAGGATATAAATTTTTTTTTTGCAAGTATATTATGGGTAAATATGAAAGGTAAGATTTACAGCAGGCAAACAAATTCATCTCTTCAGTGACAGCAAGAACATTTATGCCTGTGAGACATTTAAACTCCATTAATGCAAACTTTCATTGATTAGCTGAATGATACCACAACTGATTCCAACTGGTCATATAAAATGCCAGACAGACCTACTGAACAAAGTGAACTTAGAAGTTGCTTTCCCTTATATGACACTGATATTACACTAAATTTGCACTAAAATTAACAACACAGAAACTGAATTAATCCAAGATCCTGCTTCAAAACTAAAGCATTATACTGCAGTCATGACATCGCTGGGAAACACAGTTTAAAAAACTCAACAAAACAAAAAAATTATGACTACTCATATTTTCCTTTCTAACCAGCCACACTGAATATAATAGTT